TTTTATTTCAGTTATTAAACCATTGTGTCAACCCATGGGTTTTCTCACTTTTACCCTTCCTCTGGGCAGGGGGGAGGAAGGAGCAGAATGAGCAAGCAGCTGTGTGGTACTTGGTTGCTAGCTGGGTTTAAACTTCAGTCTTGCCACTGCAGAGCCTGGTGAGAGATGGAGGAACAGACAGAAGTTGCAACAAGAGAGGGTCAGACTGGAAAGCAGGAAATTCTATTCCACTGTAGCCAAGGACTAGAACAGGCTGCCCCAAAAAAATTATATAATCTTCATCTTTGGTCCTTTGGAAGACTAGACTAGATAAAGCCCATGAATGGCAGGTGAGATGTCCTCATCTGTACGAGGTATAACACTACAGAATTTAGAAGTATTGAGCTTCTCCCAGAAGTGTTTGAGTCTTCAGGAACATACTTTGAATCTGAGTATAGAAAAGGTCTTATTACTTGAGGGACAGTTGAGGAATTGAATTAATACTATCTGGAAAAACTGTTGCAATAGAGCAGAGAGTGTTGAATCATTGCCTTTTTATAAGCAGATTCCCAAAAGATCAATAAGAAATCATATAATTTTTACTGCAGTAAACCCCATGGGGTATTAGCAAATTCATTGTTAATTTTCTTCCGTGTGGTAAACAGCAGCAGCTTGTTACAAAGAAAAAGGTGATTTTAAATCTAGCATTTTTTTGAGCAGGCAGCATTGGTGTTCTTGACAAAAGTCACAACTATCAATTTGAACATTATGGATATTCTTCCTGATGCCCCTGGCAGCAGTTTGAACTCTCCTTTCTGAAACAAACTGAGGTACTAGGAAGTGATTTTGGGCTAAGAATAGTATATGTCTTGTACTTGAGATGATGTTCTACTCTTGCACCAGGGACTAACAGCCTTCCACAAGCAGTGACAGCCTATGCACTTTGCCTTAGCAGTGGCCAGGGTGGCATTGACTCAGCACAACTCTATTAGTTTGCACTATTTTTTGAACATTGTGGTTAGTCAAGATAAGAAGTAATACTAAGAGTTTACGAGGACCCTTGATGAGTTTTTCCAGCAGTACTGTAATTTTCTCTCTAATAGCCTTTCCACTGATGGAAGCTAATGTTCTTCTCATTCATTTACTTTCAAAATGTCTATTTGCAAGTGTGCTGATTGGAGCTTTTGTATAAAGCACATCAGTGAGCTTTGATATTGCCCATTTGGACTAAAATTAAGATTATAACCCTTATAATCTTTCATGGAGATTTGCACTCACTCCTTCTGAGACCTAGAAGTGCCTTAAGTAGATTTCATTTTGATTCATACTTTATTGAAACTTCACAAGCAGAAAAATGGTACCATTCATTGGTTTGGATGAGAAGTGTATATGAAGATGCACATGCTGGATTTATATTTTAAAGATTAATGATTTTAATGCACCAATAGACTGAGAAGTGTATATGAAGATGCATGTGCTGGATTTATATTTTAAAGATTAATGATTTTAATGCACCAATAGAAATATTGGTATATTTCAGGGTCTAGATATCTAAGACAAGAACTTATAATTCAGTGATGTGTTTGAAGAGGAAAAAAACCCCAAAGTTCTACAAAGACAACTTTTAAAAACACTTTTCCATTTTACATTTAAAAGGAAATGGAGTTGATGAAGCTCATCAAAGTAAAAACAAGTAAAAGGTTCAAGCAAGGAATTAACTGGATTATACTAATTATAATAAATTGTTAACCAAGCTGTGTGGATAGGGATTAGTTTAATTGTAGAAATTCTTTCATGTAATCAACTGAAATCTGATGGTCCTCAGATGAAAAGAGCCTTGTTTTGGAATCATTTTTAAAATGAACAGCATAATTCTGTTGCATAATGAGGAACAACAAAATGAAAGTATTGAAATCCTATTAAAGTGTAGTATGTTAATATGACCTTTAACACATTTTACTCATTGGGAGTATATAACCTCATCTGTGAGTACTGCCAGGGTACAGTGTTGTACTGAGGTGAAACAGGACAGCTAAATGGTAAACTGAATAACAAGAAACAATTGAACAATCCCATTCACTTCATGTTGCAAATGTTCTCTTTTGAATAATAAGAAACAATTGAACAATCCTATTCACTTCATGTTGCAAATGTTCTCTTATATGTGCACTAATACTAATCAATGGCCTTGTTCTGAGGAATGGCCTTCTTAGCTTCTCCTATTAACAAGCCCTAACATCTAAAAGTTGTAATTTCGATACTATGGTGATGAGGGATAGCAAAAAAATCACAAAAGAGTCTTTGAATGTTGCCTGATGTAAAAGAGAAGTGAATAATCTGTCATAAAAGATACATCCAATTCATTATGCCTTATTGGAATAACTATTTCCACCGAACTGAGTTGATGAAAAGGAAAATGTGTTTTGACCCTTTTTCTGCTAATGGGATTTTCTTGTGTAGTGTTTGTTGAATCAGCTATCCTGGTGTATAATAGAGACAGAGTGTGGTATTTCCACCTCCTGGTAAATGCTGTTCCACATACTTAGAGTGGCTTTATTTGGCTGGTCTATTAGTAATGAAATTATCAGACGTTCACATTAGTAATCTATTAATTGGTTTCTAATTAATTAGCTATGTTTACCTTTCAGTTTACAATTGCAGTTCTAAGTATTCTGTTTCCCATCTCAAAATTCTACATCTTGTTGGAAAGTATAATTTATTCTTTTATGAATGTCTATTTTTAATTCACTGGATTCAAGTGACTAACAAAATGTGGAATCAATATATATTAGTACTTCAAAAGGATTTATTATGAAGTTAATGTTATTGCAATAGCAAACTGCTGGGTATTTTTTCTGACCTAATCTATACATATGTGTTAGGGATGTGGTTTGAATCAGATCACCAAGGTATAAAATATGTCAAAAGCCTGCTTGCTACATAATTTTCCAGAAGTAAATAGAAGAAAACTCTTAGCTTCTATAATTCTTCTTTATCTTTGATGTTACAGTTTTAAAAAGAGTTTATTGTAAAAAATATTTAGACAGTTCATAAATGTTAAGGTATGAAGGCAGATTCATAAAGCCCTGCCTGGGGGTATAAGAATTTAAGAGAACATGGGAAGCTACATGAGAAGCTGCTGAGTTTAACAAACAACTGAGTGAGTGGCTGACAGAAGTTGCAGAAAGCACCAAGAGCAATGACTGGATTTCACAGACTGTAAAGGGAGAATTTTGTGAAAGACATGAAAACTTCACAGATAATTAATGGGATGACTTGGGGAAATTTTATACATTATTTTCTTGCAAGGCCAACAGAGCATGGGTAATCATATCAGTAATCTCAAATAAAGCTGAGACTATCTAGGTAACCATATCAAAAGTACTGAATTTTTGCATGAAGGTGGGAAAAATAGCCAACGGGGACAAATACTTAGATGAGCACTGTTTATCTAGAAGACAAGGGTGAAGAAATGTAGTGATCAAGGTTGATGGGAGAAGTACAACAATGGAAAAATGTAGAGAAATGGTGATAAAAGGGCTGCTGGTCATTCTATTTCTCTGGCTCAAACTGCATCTGATCACTGTTGTCTCTTTTCTTTACTACTTCTTTGTTACCACCTTTCGTAGTGGGGAGTGATGGACCTTTAAACTGAACTAGACAGCAAACAGAATGATACATAGATCAGGAATGACTCAAGGTCTGAGCTAGCAAGTTGGAAAGAGGTTCAGGATCTGGGTATGGGTATCAGACAGACATAAAATCTATGCTGATACTTGTGGGATCCGTTAGTGAGGGCTTATTTCTGTGTTTAGAAAAGGAGGGAAGTGTGCATGCTCACCATTGAACTTCAATACTCACTAGCCAGAGAGGAGGAGAAACTTTGAGCCATTGGTGCTGTTTGTGCTTATGTGACTGCTGTTTGTGTTTATGGAAGGGAAAAGACAAGGTTCTTCTTGTTGATCCATGTGGGCACTGTGTCTGTGTTGTGTGGCATTGTGTGTTGGCTTACTGAGAGCACATTCAGCTTCACCACTGGCTGGATCTATAAACAGGAATGGGAACAACCTCCCTGGTCTGAGTCCACTGGATTTGGCTTCCCTTAATAACTGCTGTGTGAGAGATGTTCAGTGACTGTTCAGTGTCTGCTGGGTTCCAGCTCCAATTCTTCCTTCTCTACAGATGAGATTAGCCACTCCCATAGATTTCTAGCATTTTTATTCACCGAAACAAATAAAACATACAGGAATATATTAAGTTCTTTGCTTTTTGAATGGTGATAATTTACAGATGTCCCAACCAGTAACAGGAGCCTTACAGTGCAAACAATTCTAGGAAAACACAATATATAAAAACCTCTCAATCCCTCCTAAAATGAATAAAATAAAATAAAATAATCCTTATGAGAAGTAATAGGGAAATACAACAGTACAAAAGGTAATGTTTGTGGTCAGCATGTCACGAGGCATCACTAAAGCACTCCATAATTTTGTATGTTTATTTCTTTAAGGTTCATTTTGTGAGGAACTTGCTGATCCTTGTGCAACTCAGCCATGCCTGAATGGAGGCATATGCCAGTATAATCAGTCTGGATATGTTTGTGATTGCCCTTCTGGTTTTCTTGGTCACAAGTGTGAAATTGATATCAATGAATGTTCTTCAAAGCCATGTCAGAACAGAGGTACATGCATCGATTTGCCAAATGTAAGTATAAACTTCAGAGATCCCTATTTGAACATAGAATCACAGAATCATAGAATGATTTGGGTTGGAAAGGATTTTTAAATATCATCTGTTTCCAATTTTCCTATGGTGGGCAGAGACACCTTACACTAGATCAGGTTGCTGAAAGTGTCATCCAACCTGACTTTGAACACCTTTTCCCCTATCTCACCAATTCAGCAACAATGTTGATGTGTGGGGTGACATCAAAGACCTTAGAGATGTCAATTAATGGTGTCAGTTGCTTTTCCCTTCCCCATCAATGCAGTCCCTACATCACAGAAAGCAAAGACACCATAGTCAGACAACATTTGCTCTTTGTGAAGCATAATAATGTTTGTCTCTAATAAAATCTTCTATCATAAAGGATGAGGTATCAGTAGTCTTTATTAACTAGTGGTTGTCTCCAATTTTTACATTTTTAATTCCCTTTTTTCTTTTTGTAAAATGGAATCAATTCATACAGACTCGCAAAGTTTTGATAATAAAATGATATATGGTTGTATTTCTAAATATATCGTTGAGGTTCTTTCATTAGCACAACTATTGCAAATAACTATGATTATACAGAACCCAAAGAGTGAAAGTTCAAAAAGCTTAGTTATCACATACCAGTGGTACATACTCACTCATAGGGGAAAAAAAAGACATCCAACC